TCTCAAATACCTGACCTCTAGTGATCCTCCCATCTCAGCCTCCCAAAACACTGAGATTATAGATGTGAGCCATCGTGTCTAGCCCCAAGGATTGCTAATGCTGTTTGACACATGGCAAAGCCAAGCCACAAACTAAAACTGCGGCCAGAACAAAACCTGGCTTCTCTACCCTGGTTGCAGCCTGCCAAGCAAGCTCACCATCTCCTCTGGTGAGGCATTCTAATAAGTAGCAGTAAAAGAAAAGGGGACGCTCATTTTGAGACAGCATAAAGTTACAAGAGCTATGGGAGATGGATAAACTCCAAACACACAGCCCCTCCCTCAAATCCTACTGATGCCCTAGGTCTAGTTCCTAAGGGAGAAAGCTGATTAAGTGGGAGGTCTGACTGCAAGGTGGGGTCATGAAAAGGGTGGGCTTTAGACTCACATGGCCTCTCTCAGCTTCCAAGAAACCCCCAACTACTACCACCATCATCATCTTCTTAACTAGGTTAAGTGGCAGTTTCACAATCTTACATAAAAGTGAACAAAAGCCTCTTTTAACTACATGCTCACCAGAATGGCTAAAATGAAAGATAAGTGAAATAAAAATACTAAGTATTGGGGACCATGTGGTGCTAACACTGGTAGAAGTGTAAATTGGTCTAACCAACTGTAGAAAACTGCTTGGTAGAACCTACTAAGGCTAATATTTGTATCTATGACATAGCAATTGCACTCCTAGGCATATACTGAATAGAAATTTGTATTATGGTCACCAAAAGACAAGCTAGAATTGTGCTGTCCAATAGAGTAGCCCTAGCCATATTAGCTACTTACATTTAAATTAATTACAATTTTAGAAAATTAAAAATTCAGTTCCCCAGTCACACCTGTCACATTTCAAGTGCTCAAAAGTCACACGTCACTAATGGCTACCATGTTGGATGGCACGGATATAGAACATTATCATCGCAGGAAGTTCTATTGGACACTGTTCTAGCATATCGTAGTGGTGCTATTCACAACAGCCTAAAACTAGAAACAACCCAAATACCTATAAACAGCAGAATGGATACATTGATTGTGGTATTTTCACACCGTGGAACACTCTAAAATAACTGAAATGAGCGACCTACAACTACCCGCAGCCATATGGATAAATCTCACGAACGAATGAAGCAGGTGCACAAGAGTGCAATCTATATGATTCCATTTAGATAATGTTCCCAAACAGGCAAAACTAACCTGTGCTGTTAGAAGCCAGGACAGTGGTTACCCTTAGTGGCTCCAGGTAGTAGTTACAAGAAGGGAGCATGGGGTACTTTCCAGGGACTGATAATGTTCTGTTTCTTCATGTGGGTGTTGGTAGCATAGAAGGGTTCCGTTTATAAAGATAGAGCAAGCCGAAGCTTGGGGTTTTCTGGATGTATCTCCCATTCCAATAAGAAGTTTACTAATGACCCCTTTTGAAAACCTCAGCTGTTATTAATCTGTTCCTTACAATCTAGGTGGAGTGAGGTGGGGGCCTATTTTCAACAAAGCTAACGTGCTTTAGAGATCAGTGCCCCCTCCCCCTGACGCCTCCCCAGGACTCCCTGCAGAGACCTCCCCATGTCCCCTAAGCCCCACCCAGGATGTCCTACCTCCGCGACCTTCAGGACTGCTGGCTCTTGCAGTTTGGGCTCTCACCCGCAGAGTCGGCTAGGCTCTCCCGGGGCTCGCCGGGGCACTCCCGGCCCAGCTGGCTCTGACTGCCCCGGGCCCGCCTGGGAAGCTGCGGTCGGCCCCCGGGCGCCCCGCCCCGTGGCACCTGCGCTGCCCCTGGCAGTTCGAAAGGATCCTTTCCTCTCGAGCGCGGCCAGACTGAGGCTGAGCACTGAACTCTCTCCAGTCGCGGACAAATCACAGTCCTTCCAGGGCTCGGGCCCCTGGAGTTGGGAGGAGGTGCCCGGGAAGTCCCCACTGGCGTCCTGAACCAGAAAGCGAGGAACTGCGCGGCTGCGACTGGGGCCTTGGACCTCCCGGTCTCCCGCACGTGCCAGTCTCCAACAAAGCGCCCGCCCACCCGGCCCCACCCTGGCAGACGCGCGGCCCCAAGTCACCCGGGCGGTGCCCGCGGGCCCGAGAGAAGCCCCGCGGAGAGTCGCCGGGTTTCCCCTCCTTACCCTTTCCTTCCTGCAGCGGTGGGCTAGAGAGGACTCGTGCCTCCGCCAGGAAACGTCCTTTCACCTTTCCCTTCTGTCGAATGTCCCAGATGCAGCCGAAGTCAAAGCCCTGCAGACCCTGCCGGGCGCCACCTGTCCCAGGTTTACCCGCAATGGCTCTGCCAGATCTCCGTGGTGACGCGCGCCCGCAGAGCTGGGGTTTTCGGTCCTTGTGCTGTCCAGGTCCCCGCCTCCCTGCCCCTGTCCCCACTCCCTCACCCTGGGGAACTGCGAGTGCCTCGAGGGCGGAATAGCGTCCTAGACATCTTCCTGGAAGGTCAACGCAATATCCTAGGTATTGAGCTTGATCATTTTACTTAACTTCCAAAGCCAAAATGATTGATACATGAAGATTTACTATATAAACATTCACTGAGTTGTATACTTAACTATTTGCATGTTTTACTGTAGGAACAACAACAAAAAAAGGTGCTACAAGCATACCCATTTTATAGAGGAAGAAACTGAGGTTCAGGGCACTTCTAATTTACTCAATGTTTCCACTGCTGGTTGTGGTGCTGCTGAGAACAGAATGGACTCAGTCTGACTTCAGAGTTCATCCTCTTAACTCCTCAAGATCAGGCTCTACAGGAAAATAGCTTTTAGCCACCTAAAACCTATCCCACTTCTTCAACCAGTGGTGCCAACCCACCCTGAGCTTAGTGGGTGGGGAGGGGTTACACACTCATCCAAGGGAACCCAAGAGGGTTGAACCTGAAGCGACCGCTGGTATCATATGGTTTACCCTTCTCTCCACCATAGATCTCAAAAACCACAGCCCAGAGGAACAACTTACTTGGCCTGTTCCAAGTCTAATGGGTAGATTTTGATTCCTCCTGGCTCACAGGACAATTTAATGAAGCAGCAGTTCATCCTGTCAGGGGGAACTTTTCCCCTGGAGAGGGAGCCCAAGGAAGAGGTAGCTGCGTTGGTCAAGGATTTTCAACCTCCGATCGAGGAACCCCAGCAATGAGCAGTAGGGAAATCCTCCAGTGAAATGATGGGAGCTATTTATACCTGGAGACTGCAGGCTCCGGAGCAGGATAGGGAGCAGGCTGGTCTAGGCTGGCTTCAAGTATCTCAGGACACGCAAACTTGCGGAAGCCAATCCACAGAACCAGTTCTGTTTCCTCTATGAGGATCACAAGTCACTTTTCCAGAACAAGAGGGAATGCAGAGTGAAGGAAGACCAACACAGGGCAAGAGGAAGCCCAGGAAGGAAAGTGGGTGTGTGGTGCTGAGAGGCCAAGGCCCAGCAGGATAGGGGACTGGATTGGAGGCAAAGTAGTTGCTTACTTAGGAAACCTCCAGTGGAGCAAGCGCAGCTATTCCTAGAGACTTCAGTTCCTAGAGTGAAGGTGCTGAAATTCCACCTGGGGAGTGAGCTTTCACAGGGTGCTGGCCCAGGTCTTGCTGGCTTTCCATTCCCTGCGCCTAGTGAATGTAGGGGAAGTCAAATTGGGTCCCAGACGCGGGTCCTGGGTTTCTTACACATCCTAGTTTTCCCCAGGCCCCAAACTTTGTGTCCTGGGGTCAAGGTCTTTACCAAGATCTTAGCCTTCTATCCTAGGTATTGAGCTGTAGGATGAGGTGCAACATTGTGGGGAGGGATGTCCTTAGGCAGTATCACAGGGTACAGAAGAGGTGGGACCTTCTGCTGGGTTGGAAATGGGTTGCCAAGTGTCCTGACTAGGCCCAGGGAAGCCAAGATTCCAGTTCCACTTTTCCCTCCAGGCCAGCAGCCAAGGCCACAGCTCAACAGCACCTGGGCAATTCAGGCAGCACGAACCAGGGAAGAGGTGCTGAAGGGGCCCAGAGGGCATCTCACAGCCCTCCTGGCCCCATGAGCTCCTACTGTGGTACTTGTCCCAGAGGGAAAAGATGCCAACCTGGCCCTCCACATCTCTCCTGTGGAGGGAGAGAGACAAATAAATCTTTGCATGACACCATGTTATGATATTGGAAAGTACCTAAGACTCTGATGGCACAAATGTGAGAGTGATTACCTCCACTTAGGTGGTTCAGGAAGGAAGCTTGGCCTTGAAGGAGAGGCAAAAGTTCACCAGAAAAATGGGGGTGGAAGGGCATTCCAGCTGGACAGGAGGGCATGTGCAGAGACATGGAGGCTGAGATAGCAAAGCACTGTTGGAATGACATCCTTTTGTCATTCAGGCATTGACTTAAATGTAATCTTAACAGGCTTTCCCGACCGCCTACTTGAAAAGACCTCCACTACCAGCGTTTGGTTCTATTTCCTTTTTAGAATTCATCTACTGTTTTTGCATTTGTTTATTGTCTCACCCTCCCTCCACCCACCCCTGCACACCTGAAAATAAAATCCACCAGTCTAGGGACACTTTTTTTTCACCGTTCCCAGCAACTCAACAGTACAAGTGAATACATAGTAGGTGCTCAGTATACCTAGTTGAGTGGATGAATGAATGAATGAATGAGTCTGCAGCTGCAGGCTGTGAGAAGCAAGTAAGGAGCCAAGAATTCCCTCTCCAGCCCTTTGCCTAAGCAATCCATGGGAAGGTAATGGCTCCAGAAGAGGGATCGCGGTAGGGAAGGGGATTGGGGCATCATGGTGGTGGGAGGCTGTGTCCCAGTTTGGGGTTGGCGTGAAAGAGGAGGGACGCGGCTGCGAGTTGCTGCGGGACCTGCAGTCTAGTGCACTGGCTCATGCTTGGCTCCGGGGTCTTTCTGCCGCCTAAGAGGCGAGGGGAGGGAAGGTCTTCGCCCCCCAAGTGCCGCTTCTCTAGCCTCCCGCTAGGCCCTTTCGGATGTGTCCAAGTCGCATCCTGGGCGGTCAGAGGGCTTCGGAGGGCTTCCTTGCCTGCCTGCCTGCCTGCCTCCCTCCCTCCCCTCCTTCTTTTTCCTCCTCCTCCTCGCGTCTCTCCAGCTCCCCAGCCGGTCGGCCCCGCCACAGCGTAGCAGCCCCACCCCCTCCTGTAAGGGTGAAATTGCTAAACTTGTAGCAATAATGACCCAGCATTCAGGCCGCCGACTCCCGCTGAACGTCTCAGCGCCCCGGCCGGCCCGGCCTAATCAGCGCTCCCCTCCCTGCTGCCCGCCCAGCCCCCGTCCCTCTGGCCGCCCCCTCCCCCAGCTCACAAAAAGTGGGGAACAAAACCCCCGCACATTTCTCCGTCCCTCTGTTGAGCAGACTGCTGCACAAAGCCCCCGCTCTGAGAAGCAATGGGGAGCTCGGGGGGGACGTCAATCCGACGCGCTGGGGTTTTTGTTCGCGCAGGGGACCTCGCCTTCCTACCACACCTTTTGTTCGGGACTCCAATAAAAAGCTATTCTTTCCGCACCTTCCCGGCCCGGAGCCGCCTTTCAGCGAGGCCCGGCCCCACAATGGCGCGGCGCTCTGAGGCCTCCCCATTCACCCGCCTTGGCACGCTCACAATCGGCCGTGTGGCAGCACAGGCCTCGCACAGGCATTCTCCGCAAGTGACAAGGAGCCGCATAAAGCCGGGGCCGCCGGGGGAGAAGGGAGGGCGGCCAAGGGGGAGAGCTCGGCCGCGGTGGGGCGCAGCGCAGCACCCCCAGGCGCGTTGGTAGTCCTGGCTGCAGCCGGGGAAGAGGCTGCTTTCGCGCCGCCAACAGCTGGGCCTGGGGGCGAGGCTTCCTTTTCCCTGGCGACCCTCGAGGTGGGGCAGATTACAAGACTTGACCGAACGCAGGTCTATACAGCTAGTCCAAGCATCTGGGTAAAACTTAGGGGGAACTACAAAGCCAGGGACTTCAAATGGCCCTGAGCCTTCGACCTGTCCAGCCCGCAAAAGTAAACAGAAATTAATGAACAAAGCCACGAAGAGACCAGACTTACAGCCTGGGGCCTGGCTCATGGGAGACCAGGCCTGCAATCGCCCACGGAGGATGGCTTTCCCCCTCGCACCTTTTCCTCCCTTTCTGGCCCTATTTAAAGGATTCCTCTCCACTCTTGGGGGCTAAACAAATTCTGTAGCCGGCCAACGATCTGAAAATATTGCACCTTGTTTATTGACTCCTGTAGTGTGTGGCAGCGGGTGTGTACACGGCGTGTGGTTATAGTTATATAGATAGATAGATAACATGTGCTGAATACAGAATACGAAACAGAAAGGAAACCCGGTAACACCTCCGGTGGGCCACCAGGTCTCGAGTTTGTTCAGCCTCCCCCCACCCCCAACTTTTGATCTCATTCGGCTGGTCTTCCTCGAAGAATCCTGCGTTCCCCGACAATCCGGAGATCTGGACAGAGGTATCTGCTGCGGAGGGGAGACAGCTGGGAAACGAAATCGACTGTGCTATGGCGCTCCAGGCCCGCAAAGGGGGCAGAGAATCGGTAGGGCCTGGAATTTCTCAAGCCACGACTCCCATTTTTCTCTCCTTCATGCTTTTAATTTGTTATGTCCTTGGGCTCCCCGCCAATGCTTCGCGGAGGCCGCGGAAAGGCAGAGGGAGAGAAGCCCTTCTCACTTTGGAAGAACCAAGCGCGGCCAGGGTCCTAGCCGCCTGCACTCCCCTCGCTGCCAGGGTCGGGGCCATCGTCCCCCCCGGCGCCCAGCCGGCGTTTCTGCCTCAGAGACAGTCCTGGCGACCGGACCCAGTCATCCTCCTTGCCCCTGAGCCCCCTTCCCCAGGCCTCGAGTGAGCTGCGATCCGAAGCCCGGAGGAGCGAGACGTATATATATATTTTTTAACGAGGGGACCTGACCTTTAGGTCAGGCCCTTCTCGAGCTTCAGTCCCGCGGCGCCAGGCTTCGCTGGGGTGCCTGCCGCGTGACTCGCCCCGTCCCTACCAGGCCCGGATGCCCTGCAAGGTGCCCTGAGCGCACGCGG